GAATTGAGGATATATCAAAAGAGTATACTTATGTATGTCAACAAAATATACACATATCATCACCACCGATCACGGCGCTCACAGTTTAAAGATATATGATGTGCTTTGAACGGTGCATTAAATAAGTTTACGGGAGAGGTGACTTGGCATTTCTGCTTGATCGGAAAATTAGCATAAAATAGGCATAAAATGCTTATACGAGTTCCAATGATGGAGCAGACAGTTCGTAAATTCACAAGTGCCACCAAATCGGCAACCAAGAATTGCCGCAGGTTGGAAGGCAAGGTTGCAGTTGTCACAGCCTCCACCCAAGGGTATGTTCTTTTATTTTTATTTTTTTTATTTATAAGTGTATTTCTCAACTCTATTTTTATGCATTTTAAAAGATTAATAAAAAAAAAATAAATAAAAATAAAACAAGGGATTTAAATGGGATAATGTCTTTTTAGGGTGATCGTATGACGTACACGTGAAACGGGACGTCCCATTGTCGACGACAAACAGAGAAAAAATCGAAAACATAGAGACTCACTGAAGACGTAACGTTTCCGTAGTGTTTTTTGTAAAATCCTAAGTAGCAAAAAAAATTTAGGAAAAGTAGACAAAAAGTCCGAGTTCATCATTCAGGTGCATACATCTGCAGTTGGACAGAAAGCAGATCCGCACTAGTGATAAAAATAAAATGTAAAAAATTTAAAACAAAAAGCCCCTCTTCCACGAACACGCGGTACACACAGGCTCACGTGTTGTGTTACGTCTCTCCTACCACAGAGCTGCCGCTCATTCACTTTATTATTATTAAATGTTACGTAGGAGTTGACGATTATTAGTGATGATGACGATGGTTCATCGGTGTAAGGAGGAAAGTGAAAAAGAGAAAGAGAGAGAAACAGGACACGATTAGTAATAACGATAAAACAAAGGCGCTTATGATAAAATAACGAAACACAAAAGTAACGATGTGTAAATACAATTATATTTTGAGGGCGCATACTTTAAAACGTCTTCTAAAAATGTGAAATATACGAGAGGTGTGTCAGAGAGAGAGAGAGAGTGAGTGAGAGAATGAGAGTGTGGAAGCGAGTTTTGCCTTACGTTGATAAATACACAATAAAACGTAGCAGCACTATTTTCGACACGAGAAAAGTGAGATGCTCGCATGTTGTGCAATTTCAATAAAAAAAAAAAAAAAAAAACAATGATGGCAATTCATAAGAGAGGCACCAGCGAAATAAAGAAAAAAAGCAAATACTTATAAGCTTGTAACAAGTTTTACATGCAAATTGTGAACATTTTTTTTTCTTTCGATATTTTTCCTAAGTTTTCCCGCGTATTCATTTTGTTGTTAGGATTCTTGCAGATAATCACGATGAGATATGTTAGAGTTGGAATTATTACAGGAAAATTTTGTTGATTAAAAGTATAGATATAATTGTTTGACTGTCAAAACTTTTTGGTCGACGCTATTTATTTTCAAATAATTGTTTTTTTATTTTTTTTTGTTTAATCATATTGCTAATGTTTTTTCCTTTTTTCGAGGCGTGTGTAACAGCCGCATACGTAAACGTACGTATTATTCCGATGTATAATACAATAGTTTTCTTATTCTTATAATTTTCTGTAATTCTTTAAATGAGTAAGCTGATTAGTTCAGAAAACAATCGTTTCGTATGAGATTGTGGCTTAAAAATAAGCTTTCGCGTAAATTATTGTGCCGTCTTAGTTAATTAAAATTCTAAGGACTGCATATAAATATTATTTTTATTTTTTCTGTAAATATACATTGACTTGTTTATTTGTATGAGTATAACTTGTATGCGTATCGGCGATTGTCATTTACCTACTATATAATATATAAGAACTGATTACTATAATATACAAAAATATACTCGATATTGGCAGCAAGTGAAAGAAAATTTTAAAGAGTGTACGCAACAGCACTTTTCTTTCGTCGTTGCTGGAAGCTGCAAGAATTATTAATTATAGATATAACTTCTCTGACTGAGACTGCAAATGACTATCACAAACACTTAATAAAAACTATTACCCTATTAGATTTAAAATTAAGTAAAAATTATCGTTTTTAATTACCAAGATAATTTTTTTTTTTTTTTTTTTTTTGTTAACGCAATTAAAATGTGAAATACCATTTTTTATTATTAACGCGTAATTGTATTGAATTTTTGGTAAATAGACTTCCTAGTATAAAAAAATTTCTTTTTTTCTGAAGATAGCAAAAGTTTATTATAACTATTTAATTTCCAATAGATAAAGGCAAATAAATTTTTTGCTATTTTGATCATGCTGGTAGATACCATAACTTTTTAATTTAAACAATCTACCAGTGTTATAGTAATAAATCTAGTGAAGGTAGATAAAAAAAGTTTGTTTGGCAAAAAGGCCGCTTTTTCTTGCTTAAGGAGATGACCGAATTGTTATATTTATAAGTATAATGATACAGAAAATATGAAATACATGTACTGTACACAAAAACTTTGCATGAACGTATATGATTCTCATATCGAAAAGTTAATACGAGAAATACCATTTCGAGTATAACAAATAGGCTGTAAAATAGAACCAACTACTGTATTGTGATTAAAATAGATTTTTTTCATCAATGACAGCAAGTAACTATATATACATATAAATATTTTAACCTGTAAATACACAACTTATTAGTAAGAAAAGGAATACATCTTTGAAAAAAAAAAAAAAAAAAAAAAAAAAAAAAAAAAAAAAA